AAGACAGAAGGTCTTGGCACAAAATATTCAAAGTGTTAAAAACCTAGAATCTATAACCAAGAATACTTTATACAGCAAAGCTATCATTTAGAGTTGAAAGACAGATAAAGAGCTTCCCAGACAAAAATAAGCTAAAGGAATTTATCAACACTAAGCCAATATTACAGGAAATGTTGGAGGAACTTCTTTAAGAAGAAAAATCCTATATCAAAAACATGAATAAAGAATGGTAATAACTACATATTTATCAACAAATACATCAAAAGGAAAAGAATTAAGTGCTCCAATCAAAAGATAGGGAACCTAAATCGATAAGAAAACAAGACCCCCTACATATGCTGCCTACAAGAGATCCACTTCAGATTAAAAGACACACACAGATTAAAAGGAATAAGATGGAAAAAGATATTGCTTTGATGGACTTAGATGGTATTGTGCTGAATAAAGTAAGTTAGATAATGATTTTACATACATCTGGAATTTAAGAACAAAATCAACAATAGCAAAAACAGAAACAAATTCATAGATACAGAGAATATTTTGGCTATTAGGCAAAAGGAGGGTTTGGGGGGACAGTGAAAAAAAGCAAAAGTTTTAAGAAGTAGAGATGGATAGATACAAAATAGTCATGAAGATATAAAGTATAGCATAAGGAAAATAGTCAACGATGTTGTAAAAATATGTGAGAGGGCAGAGGGGTACCTGATTTAGTGGATTGACCACTCATGAGTTATATAGATCTCTAATTACTATGCTGTACAACTGAAACTAATATATTATTGTATGCCAACTATACTTGAAAAAAATCATTGAATTGTACAATGTAAATATGAGCAACTAATTGTCTATTATACTTCAATAAAGCTGGTGGGGGGAATGATCAGTTTGGTTGAAATGTGAAGAATGAATCAGAATGGATTTAAAGTGAAAGAATGGGTAAATCTCAAATTATGTAGATTTTTTTCCTGTGGTAAAACAATCTACTTTTGCAGGCTTATTCTTGTGAAGAAATATTTCCCACATGTGCTGTGAATAATTAATTCCACAAGTAACAATTTCCACTGAAGCGTTAGAAACTGATTTAAACAGCTCACTGACTTTTGGTCATTGGCAATGGGAAAATGACAATGAATTGAACATCACTCAAAAGTTCCTACATTAGTGGCAGAAATTTTGCTGTTATTTCTACTTTTACTTCCATAGAAAAATAATGAAAGAACAATAGTTTATTAAACATTTACTATCACTCAAATATATTGCAAGAGATTTTCATCTGCGATCTTCTCATTTAGATCTTACAACTAATCATCAGAGAAATACAAATAAAAACCACAGTGAAACTGGTGTTAATATACTCATTTTCACATGAAGAAACTATGCTTGCGGGGCTATGCAATTTTTCAAGGTCACATCTGGTAAGAAATAGAATCCATGCTTTAGATATTTTGCTTAGAAACTAGTTTGCAAAAGAATGCTAGATGAGTTAGGATTACAGTTTAACTCAAATTTTGTTTGTTAGTCACACACAGCTTACCAATATAATCTTGTTTTTTTTTTTTTTTTTTTACTTTCTAGATTTCTGTAGAAATCTGGCTTTTTTTGTGAGAAAGTTAGCAGTAAACTAAGCAAATAGGACAGAGTCTCATAGTCATGAAAGCATGTATTGAACATATTCTTTATTCGAGACACCGCGCTACTCTTCAAGGATACAGACATGAACTAGACATAGTGTATACAATAAAATTGCACAGAATTATAAGAATAAATTGACTAATACAGCAATAAAGCAGCGGGGTGAAGGTACATAAGAGAAAGGCACTGCAAATTGTTATTTCGTCCTTTTTGGGACTCATCAGTACAGCGTAGCTAATGATGTAAACTTAAAAAAAAATTTTTTTTCTAAAGCTCGATGGTATGTAAACAATTCTGAAACTGAGTATTGAATGCTTAAAGATTACAGGAATTAACTCTTTGTGATTTAATCCAAAATAAATACAAAATTTAAAATTCAATGAAAGGTAAAATAAACAATGTTGTTTATAGGTATAATACTTTTGTAGCACACTGAAATTTAAAACATAAACACAGAATTAAAGTACAAAAAATGCTTTGTCAATGTTTCTAATGTTTTAATATAGAGTACAAAATAAATATTACTTTTAGTACTTTTTAAATATTCCTACATATTTGAAACTGACAATGAGAATTTTGTTTTTGTTTTTTGTTTTTTGTTTTTATTTATTATGGTAACATTGGCTAATGAAAGCCAGTAAATTTCAAGTGTATAATTCAACAATTGTATGTTCACTATGCATAGATTTCTTTCTGTCACCACATATTTGACCCCTTTTATCCCATCTACCTCCCCTTTCTCTGCCTACTCTCTGACAACCACTATTCTACTCTCCATGTTCATGAGTCTCTGTTTGTCATGTTTGTATGTTGTTTTCAGGTCTATGTTCTACATATAAGTGATTTCATGTAGTTTTCAACTTTTTGTCTGGCTTATTTTACTTAAGAATTTTGAATGAGTTAAAAATTTTTAAATGTCACAGACCAATTGTAATTTTTCTCATTGGTTATTAAAATCATGTTGCATAGTTTCTAGATAGCATGATCATTTTTATGGTGCCATGTGTGCTAACAAAGGATTGTCTATATATTAAAAGAGATGTTCATTGATATCAATTATTCTTGGATTCTTTGATATCAAAGAATAATTGATATCAATGAACATCTCTTTTCTTATATAGACAATCCTTTGTTAGCACACATGGCACCATAAAAATGACCATGCTATCTAGAAAAAGAGATGTTCATTGATATCAATTATTCTTTGATATCAATTATTTGATATCAAAGAATAATTGATATCAATGAACATCTCTTTTTAATATCAACATATACCATTTAATACCTACTTAATATCAACATATACCATTTAATACCTACTTAATTTAGAATCATGCTTTTTAAATATCAACATATACCATTTAATACCTACTTAATTTAGAATCATGCTCTCTCAGATTTCTGTACTATACCACTCTATGATAGTTTGCATCTTTGCAAAAAATATTATGAATGGATATTGGGAGTATTTTTGGTAGACTAAACAATGGAGAAGCAGCTGCATATAGCAATTTGCAATGCATCTCTCATAAATGTTTGGGAAATTCCCTATAAAGACTGTCAGATAGAAAAAGAAAATTCTCTTCTAAGTTCTTTTGGCTGATCTAATAACTAAAATGACTCAAGACAGGTTAGCAGGGAGAAAGAACAAATTTAACTTGTGCATATGGAGGTCTCATAGATATAGGACCTAAAGAAATGACAAAAGGAGACAGCTTTTATACTTTTTAGAAAAAGAAATTCATAAATTCTGGATCATATGGCAAATCTCTTTTTGTTTTTGGGGTTTTTTTTTTTTTTTGAGGATTCTCCATATTGTTTTCTACAGTGGCTATACCAATTTACAGTCCTGCCAGCAGTGCCGAAGGGTTCCTTTTCCTCCACGTTCTGACATGTCGTTTGTTGACTTTTTAATAATAGCCCTCTGACTGGTGTGACATGGAATCTCACTGGTTTTAATTTGCATTTCCCTGATGGTTAGTGATATTGAGTGTATGCCTTCTTAATAGAAATGTTTTTTCATATTCTCTGTCCATTTTTTGATTGAATTGTTTTTGTTATAGCCGAAGGCAATAAAAATACTAATTTGAACAGATATATAGTAAATTTAAAAAATGTGCTATATATCTATGATTATTTAAAAAGGTAAGAACATGCTATTTATAATATGTACATATTTATAATATGTCTTGAAGAAATTTGTCACCTATTGACAGTATATGACTTGCTACAAATCCATTTCCTCTCTGTGTAAGGCCTAGCACTACTGACTCCATTATCATTCAAGTAGGCACATTCCCCAATTCCTCTGATGGCAAACCTAAAACCAAACACAAAAATATTAAAAATTTATAAGTCGATATCTATATTCATTCCTTCACTACACACACACATACACACACACACATTATTTTATTGTGTTTTGCTTCATTGTACTTTTCAGATACTGCATTTTTTACAAATTGAAAGTTTGTGGCAACCTTGAATCAAGCAAGTCTATCAGTGCAATTTTTTCAACAGCATTTGCTTGCTTCATGTCTCTGTCACATTTTGTTAATTCTCACAATATTTCAAACTTTTTTCATTATTATTATATTTGTCATAGTGATCTGTGATCAGTGACCTTTGATGTTACTATTATAATTGTTTTAGGGTACCAAAATTCTGAGCCCATATAAGATGGTGAACTTAATCAATAAATGTGGTGCATGTTTTGACTACCCCGCCAACCACCATTCCCTTGTCTCTCTTCCTCTCATCAGGTCTCCCTGTTCCATGAGACACAACAATATTGAAATTAAGAGAATTAGTTAATTCTACAATGGCCTCTACATTTTCAACTGAAAGTAAGAGTCAAACATCTCTCACTTTCAATCAAAATCTAGAAATCATTAAGCTTAGTGAGGAAGGTATGCTGAAATAAGCCAAAAGCTAGGCTTCTTGTTGCAAACAGTTAGCAAAAGTTATGAATGCAAAAGAACAGTTCTTGAAATAAATTCAAATACTATGCCAGTGAATAAACCAATGATAAAAAAGTGAAACAGCCTAATTGCTGATATGGAGAAAATTTTAGTGGTCTGGATAGAAGATTAGTATTAAGCCACAATATTCCCTTAAGCCAAAGCCTAAACCAGAGAAAGATCTTAACTTTCTTCAATTCTTTGAAGACTAAGAGAAGTTAAGAAAGTTAAGGAAGAAAAGTTTGAAGCTAGAAGAGATTGGTTCATGAGGTTTAATGAAAGAAGCCATCTCCACAATAATGAAATGCAAGGTGAAGTAGCAAGTGCTGATGTAAAAGGTGCAGCAAGTTATCCAGGAGATCTAGCTAAGATAATTAATGAAGATGGCTACACTAAGCAACAGATTTTCAATGTAGATGAAAGGACCTTATGTTGGAAGAAGATGCTATCTAGAACTTTCATAGCTAGAGAGAAGATGTTAATGCATAGTTTCAAAGCTTCAAAGGACAAGCTGACTCTCTTGTTAGGGCCTAATGCAGCTGGTGACTTTAAATTGGAGCCATTCTGAAAACCCTGGGTCCTTAAGATTTATGCTAAATCTGCTCTGTTTGTGCTCTATAAATGGAAAAACAAAGCCTGGATGATAGCACATCTGTTGAGACCTACTACTCATAAAAAAAAGATTTCTTTCAAAATATTACTTCTCATTGACAATACACCTGTTCACTCGAGAGCTCTGATGGAAATGTACAAAGAGATTAATTGTTGTTTTTATTCCTGCTAACACAAAATCCATTCTGTAGCCCATGGATCAAGGAGTAATTTTGACTTTCATGTCTTATTACTTAAGAAATATATTTTGAAAGGTTATAGCTGCCATTGATAGTGATTCCTCTGATGGATCTGGGCAAAGTTAATTGAAAACTTTCTAGAAATGATTCACCATTCTAGGTGTCATTAAGAACATTTGTAATTCATGGGAAGAGATCAAAATATCAACATTAACTGGATTTTGGAAGAAGTTGATTCCAACTCTCATGGATGATTTTGAGAGGCTCAGTGGAAGAATTAACTGCAGATGTGGAAATAGCAAGAGAACTAGAATTAGAAGTGGAACCTAAAGATGTACCTGGATTGCTACAATCTCATAATGAAACTTTAATGGATAAGGAGCTGCTTCTTATGTATGAGCAAAGAAAGTGGTTTCTTGATATGGAATCTACTCCTGGTGAAGATGTTGTGAAGATTGTTGAAATCACAATAGATTTAGAATAGTAGATATACTTATTTGATAAAACAGCAATAGGTTTTAAGAGGATTGACCCCAATTTTTGAAAGAAGTTCTACTGTGGTAAAACGCTACCAAACAGCATCACATGCTACAGAGAAATAGTTTGTTAAAGTGTCAATCAATGTAGCAAACTTCATTGTTGTCTTATTTTAAGAAATTGCCACAGCCAGTAACCATCAACCTGATGTCATCAACATCAAGGGGAAACCTTACCCTCCACCAGCAAAAAGACTATGACTCGCTGAAGGCTCAGATAGCATTTAATATTTTTTTAGTAATAAAATATTTTAATTAAGTATGTACATTGTATGTTTTAGGCATACTGCTATTAAGCACAATTTTAGACATTATTCTATATACACACTTAATAGGCTATAGTATAGTATAAACATAACTTTTGTACGTACTGAGAACTCATAAAATTTGTGACCTGCCTTAGTGCAATATTTGCTTTATTGTGATATTCGCTTTATTGCTGTGGTCTGGAACTTAAACTATAATATCTCCGAGGTCAGCCTGTAATCTTAAGCACCCCACTCCAAAATTTTTTTTAATGTATGTAAGATAAAAGTAAAAACCTTTTATTAATATGGCTGTTTAGTAATATATGCCATTTCTATATTTAGTTCCTTTTATGTTCTCAAGGTCCCAGCTTGAATATCACAAGTTTACATTTATCATTACTAACTCAGTTATGTTGTTGATTATATAGTTAACTCGCATTTGCTATCTTAGCCAAATGAACTGCTGTCATCAGTGGCCTTCAGTGAAGATTATTTTCAGTGTTCTCCTGAACTGTTTCAAAAATGTATGTAAATAAAAATACTTTTTTACTAGTAAATACTAAAAGGGTTTCACTTTGATTGATGAAAGTGGTTGGGCCCCTACATTTTATAATTTCCAGTGTAATTGTTACAGTTAAACTTGATACCCCCTTTGAAACTTCACGCTCCAAGGAACTGTTACAAAATTCCTTCTGGTGATGAAACTTTAGGAGAGATTCCCATCGGTTCCCTGCAGACCTTTCTTTTACAAATGGATGTAGCACCTGGAAGAGTGGACTTAAGAATCTTGTACATATCATTTCTTCTGTGACTTTCTAGGATTTTAGAACCCCTATACAACAGCTGTTCTCTCTACTTTCTAAATAGGCATTTTAGCAAAGTTTAAATCATTGGATGAAAGTGCAAGAACTGTGTCAAATGCCATCATCATGGAAAAGACTTCACCTGAAATGGTAACAAGTTTTTCCAAAGGCATAACTGATAAATGGAAGTGCATATAAAGGATTTATATTTCTTACCTCATAGTGCAGCAAGCTTTCCATGATATTAAATGTATTTTCTTATAAACACAACTCACATACATAACCCCACATAAATATGGTAGAAGGAAAAGAAGTCTCAAAACGTACGTGGCATCATATTCAGTGTTGTCTGTCCATTTCCAAATGTGATGTGATGATTCTCTGCTAAGGCCAATCCAGTGGTCAGAAAGGCCTTTGTATCTTTTTAGGAATTTCTGTTATAAAGCACAGAAAGTAAAACATGTGTCTCTTTCTCTCATATTGCTCTTAAATCTCTCTTCCCTATAGTCTTCTCTTTTTGGATGGCAGCACTGTATAATTGAGAAACTTAGATTTTGGAGTTAGACTATTCCCCACTTCTCAGTTTAAGTCATTCAATGTCTCTGATCCTAAATTACTTAAAGTGACCATACATCCCAGTTTGACTGGAAAAGTCCCAGTATATGCCTGTTGTTTCAGCATAATATTAATATTGTCATTTTCACTGTCCAAAATTTCCCGATTCGGGTAATAAATTATATAATTAGCTTATTTCTTTTTACAATTAGAACAATGCATCTAATCTTGCAAGTTAACTGTGAGGATTAGATGAGAGAATGTATCTAACATATCTCAGATGGTTTCAGACAGAGAATATACCCCCAACAAATGTTAGGCACCAACATGCATCCCATGTCCCCAAGGTCTGCCTGGGGTGGAATTCTTCCTCACTTATCAGTTTTAACCCTATGCAGTTTACCCTTATCAGAGAGCTAAGTATTCAACAAAGAACCTGATCCAAAATATTTCTTACCAGTTCCTCCAGGGTTTCAAACTGAGCAAGTTGAGATTTTAATGAGGCACAGAAAGCTTGGCTGTGTGTCCAATTCCTTGTGTCATCGGAAAAATAAAAACACTTATTTCCAAACCCAATCCATTGTTCTGGGCAGGCAGCACAGACAGGGTACTCTAAGACTGGCATTGTGCTTCTCTCTAAAAGTTGGACAATCACAATGAATTATAATAAATAAATTTTCTCAAGCTATTTGTTTATTTTTCCACTTACAGTTCTGAGGTCAGTTTTGAGGTATGTACATCCGATTGTGGCTTTCCTAAATCATCAGTAAGAGTCTTATCTTAAGCACAAGTCATTAGCCCACTAGTCTTTAAGTGGGGTACCTGTGCACCTGACTTTCCAAGGAGAACATGAACACTGATGGTTTAAAGAAAATCAATTTCTATAGCATTTAACTTCCTTAGTATTGTAGCACTCTTT